GGCGGCGCGATGCGGTAGTAGTGGGCCCGGCGAAAGCAAGTTCAAACCTGCCCCGTAGTTCCAAACCGGCCGCTAGGCAGCGCCACCAGTGGCGCTCCGCGGGTATAAATAAAGTGCTGCCGGGGTGGAGAGATCATTACTTCGCTTCGGCTCACACAGTTCACATCGACACATCTTGGTCTTCGTGCCACTTCTTCTTGGTCTTCGTGCCACGATGACTTCCAAACGCCCTTCTACCAAACCCTCTAAGCGCCGGCTCTTTCCCGACGCACCGGACGCTGCCGCCTCCCGCAAAAAGAGAGCGGTGTCAGACGACCCTTACGCCCTGGTGAACGTCGATCCTGGCGCTGGTCTTGGAAAGGATGAAGGAGACTACGGTCCTCACCTTCCTTACGTCTTTCCTCCCCCTACCTTCAACTTCGGTCAGGTCACCGGTTTCGGCTATGCCCAGACTGCGCAGCCTACTCCCCCTACTGCCCCAACTGGTTCCGCCCCTGGCTCCGTCCAGGAGGCCGGTGCCACCTCTTCTGGTCATACCCCTGGCGCCGTCCAGGAGACCGGCATCACCCCTTCTGGCTCCGCCCCTGGCTTCGACCAGTTGGCCGCCTCTGCCACTGATATCCCTGTCGGGTATTATGTGGAGCCCGAGTTAGGAGACTCAAACGAAATTTGGAATCAGGCTTATGGCCCTGACGTTGATCGTATGCTGCAAGAAGCTATGGGGATCTTTCAGGAACCACAAATCGTGCCTGCAAATCTACTTGAACTGCCCATGCAGTCCTCCTACAAAGATTATAATTTGACACATTCAGCATCCAAAACTGTTAGGATTGGTCTGGATGTGTTCAACTTCACTCCATACGTTCTGCTTCTAGGAGATGTGAGAATGGGAGGGCAAAGAACTTGGATCAGAATGTCCACAGATGAGTTCGAAGATCTCATTTCAGATCCTATTCACAAACAAGTTAAAGAAAGTCTGAAGGCTAAAACAGTTCTGGGGCCACTCACTTTAGGCGGAGTGTCAGTCAGTGTAACAGTCCATGAAAAAAATAACAAGTGGGCTCACGTTTGCATTCAACGTTCAGATTCCCCTTTCAAAATAACTCTAGCTGAAACTTCATGGAACATGATGAATAAACTCAATTTTCTTTTCAATTACACACTCCACAAAAATTTCTGTCTGGGTGTTGAGGCAAGGAAATATTTTCCTGACTACATAACCAAATGTAAGGAAATCGCCTTTGAAAAGGGATATAAAACTCCCTCCACTATCCTAGACCTAAAAACAGAGGAGAGAGAAACACTTTTGAGTGAAATCTTTAAGACAGACACCCCCGTTCTCTTCCCTGAAGTTCTCAAAAGAGAACTCATTTGCTACCATCTTGATTTTCTCAAAGAGAAACTGCTCTCAGCTATGGCACAGTAGATCCTAGAATTACAAAAAAACACACACACA